TGCAAATCGAATAATTTGGAAACACCAAAGCCAGTGTATAGTGTTGAATGGCAGACGCATGAAATAAGTAATTAGTTCAGAATTGATTTGGTTGGGACTGCAAAGTTTCATAGCTCTGTGTGTGGTGTCAATGCACTGACACTGATTGTATACATCAACAGTAGATACAACCATTCAACAGTCACTATCTCTATTCAATTGATATCTACAGAGTCTATGTGAGAAACAAGCGATCGTGTACGCAACTGATAAAGAACAACAACAAAAAACATTTTAAACGTGCGTAGAAAATTGCAGCAAAAATAGTAACTTTAAAATGGAGATAAATGCACATGATGTGCAGCGCACATCACTTACATTGAATTCCGTAGTTTGTTTTTGCGACTGAATAAAATAGACTTCCGTTCCGTTGCGGCAAAACAAATATCAAGTGAATAAAATCAAGTAACTGATGCCAAATGCGTGTAAAAATGGATTTTAAAACAAAACAACGCGCACCAGAAATCAGAAACAATATTAAAACATGAATTGATTTAGCAGTTATCTAACGAATCCAGCAGCTGATAAAAACGTTCCAATGCTGCCACAATAATATGTGATTCTTGGAAGGCATTGGCACAAAGTAAAACTGTTGCTTTTGCAAATGAACCAACTATTCAAATGAACGCAAATCAGGTATCCAATACAGCAATGACTTTGTATTATTCAGCTAAAAAACCCTTAACATCTACAGGAATGTGTTACAACTGCTACAGTAAATTAATGGAAAAAAAGAGACACATTAATCGAACTGAACAGCGAAAAAGAAGAGCGATAGTACCGAACGTATTCAATTAAACAATGTTTTATTCATTACGAATCATGGGGTCAATCACGAAATTCTAGTGTATCTAATTTTTAATAAGACTTCACTAGAAAACTAGAAAATTCTAGTGCGTGAAGTTGGCTCTCAGTAGTTTTTCATATAAATTATATGGCCTTTGGTGTGAAGTTGGCTTCGTTTGTGACGTCATTATTCGCACTAGATTTACTAGTTTTTCTAGTATTTACTAGCGTGATTCGCCCCATGTTACGAATTTGTTTAATTGAAATGGTAAACCGAAGAGGCAGAGTTACTTCGACTCGGAATGATGTTGCAATGCAATTTTGCATATCCACTGCTCAAAGATACACTTTGTTGACGTGATTGCAAAGTTTTTTTTTTCTATTTAAATTGATCAGCACACAAACTTCGAGCACAAAACGATCTATCTGCGTAATGTTTTAGACCTTTTTCCCAGAACTGTTGTTCCAAAATCAAGTTTGGTATTTATTTGAAATATTTTTTTTTTTCACTTTCAAGAAAGTATTAAATTAAATTAAAAACCGTGGCGCGAATTAGCCGGTGTGTCTAGAATTTGGACATTGAAAAAGGAATCATGATAGGTAATTTCATAGTTCATTGGTTCTCTTCATTCATTCATTGTTAAAAAACATCTTCAAAATAGTTGGCAAAATAAATCGGCGACATGAATTCAAATGAAAATAAACAACATACATTTGTAATTTTTCCCTTCAAAATTACAAACGCTAAAGTCGACATAGGGAACTGGTTGGCTTTTAAAACATAAAAAAACGTTGAAAATATAGAGAAAAAAAGATCGTTGTTTTTTGTTATTAGTCTTTTGTTTCATGCGAGTTTGGGTTGCATTTTTTTTTGTTTATTTTAATTATTTTGAAGGGATTTTTCGTTTCTAAACGCCTCGCATAAACTCTTTCAATAATAATGAGCGAAAATTATAAAATATAAATTCAATTTTACCCCGCCAACAGAATATCCATATCAAAAACATGACTAATTTTTTTAATGAACGATTTCATTCAGTTTGCAATAACGATAGTGGTACAGCAATGTCTCACTGCCATACAAATTATATAATTTTCTATTTACCGCCGTCATTGTTTAAATACATTTCATTCGAATTTAACATACTATGTACAGCAGCGCGTATCGTAAGCCAACGAGTTAGTTTCAATTCAGAGTACTTTTTGCTATCATATTATTTTGTTGTGCTATTGTTATTTTATTTTGAAATGGTTGCTGGGGTTTCTTGTGTTCTTTCGCAAAATTTTCTACATTAACCCACAAGTTATTGCATATATAACTCAAGCACAGTCGTTTAGCATCGACGCCGATACAAACGTACATACCATACACCAAACGAAATGTACGAAAAGGAGAAAAAAAAATCTGAGCAAATAATCAGAAACGAAGAAAAATGGTTCAATTACGTGAGCCACAAATGTATTTCAGAATAAAAATCATGCATGTTTGGTTTTGTATAACGTACAGCAAGTTATGTGCATTGTGTTATATGACAATAACTTCAATGGTGTTGTATCTACAATTTACACTTAAAAATTGTTTGGTGCAGTGGGTCGATTTTATTACATGATATCTACTTTCCAAGATACGATAGAAAAAAAAGTGATCTATTTATGTGTGTAAGCTATATATTGCCTTTTATAAATCTCATCTCAGCTGCCAACAATGGTTAACACCAATGAGGGGTAATGCGTAAATCACACGACGCTGTAGAAAAAACAACGCAATTGCGAAATGGACTTCGAATGAATTATAAACAATAACGTATGAACGCAACGGCCAAATAAAAATAATCAAAAAAAGAAATAACAAATATTTCACCGCAATGGAGGCACATTTGACTGATCTGACTTCATCAAGATTTATTCATAAGAAAATTCGTTTAAGGTTAGATAAAACGCTAATATGAATTACTTTCTCTCGTAAAGTACTTATTCACTTGAACATTGAATGAAGTAGATGAACCGTTAAAGTCCCAAGGCAAAAAAAATTGCCTATAATATTCAAATTCTGTATCTAATATCACATTCAGCTCTTGCCAATTTACTTCAATATCCAATTCTAAAGATTCTTCAACGATTTTTCCATAGACAATGCGTTGTGTTCATTCCATTTGTGGTTTTGATTATGTATTCATCAATTGTTTTAGAAAGTAGTTCTTAAAAAATCTTTGCATAAATAATGGAATTGATTTTCAAATTGTAAAATATACCAAATTTACAACGGAGATGCTTTCAAATGCGGAAAAAATTGAATCTTTTAATAAATCCGGCGGTGAATGTTCATGTATTTTGAAATTGCATCACGCATTTAAGAGAGATTGAACAATTTTGCAATTTGACAATTGATCACTTTTAAGTAGATTTGTGCAAACGGTTCGCGTGCGCCATCCAAATCAATCAATTTGCCATTTTAAATAAATAATAAAAATAATTGTTTTGTTTTTTTTTCTTCTTCGTAGACAACTGAATCACAACTTCATGAAATGCACAGCGAGCGAAAGAGAAGAAAAATGTATCTAGGTCAAATTTGGTTGTCGATTTAGTTAAACATCTACTTGAAATGATCACTATGAATTTTTGATATTTTGGTAATTTGGCGTACGTGTGGTGTGCTAATTTTCGTCTGATGTTTTAATTAATTTGTTTAAATCGGTACTCATGTATGGCGCATAGTCTGCGGTCTTCATTCATCAACTTTACGCACTCTTCATAAAAATTCACATTCATGTGGAAGACCTGCCTCACAACGAAACCAAACCGAAAAAGCAAACAATGTAATACAAACAAAAGCAGTAACCGTCTTCAAAGTGCTCTCATTGTTGCCTAAGACGCTGCGTTTAATAAGCCATTTATCGCATATAATAAATATTCGCGCAACGTAAACGCTGTGTTTTGTTTTTATTGTGAATATACTTATCATAACTGCAACCGGGCAACCGGGCAACAAATCAACAAATGCCGCGATATAACCGAAAAGAAAAAATACAACAACAACAACGGAGAAAAAATACCGTTCACTGTCTTAATTTTTCATTTGCCATTTTATGTCTCATTCCATCGAACGTTGATTCCTATATGGTGTGTTGTGTTACCTTTTTGGCGATGAAACGAAATTATTAGCAATACTGTGTGTTGTGTACCAAGCGCGTCACATTTTTGTGCTTTTGAATATTGAACAATATGCCAATGGAAGACATGGTGTATTGTATGCGTGCCTTTGTTCACCTGACCATGAAATATGCGATCAAAATGCCAACAGTGAAAAGCAAAACAAACGCAACTAAAACAGTAACGCTTAAATGAAGAAAAATCTTCACTAAATTATTTACTTTTCGGTAATACGATACACATATTGTTATATATACAGACAATTTTATTTGTAACATTGCACTTTGTCTCTTATTTGGTACAATATAAGTTATTTTGGCGTCTTATAAACGTTTAACCACTCATTATATACATGGATAGTCGTTTTTCTTTCTTTTGTTAAACGGCATATACATAATAATCGAGATGGAGACATGGAACGAAAACAATGTACACAAAATTGAAATTGGACATTATTTTTCCGAAATATTTTCGGTAAATTTGCTCGGATTTTTTTGTTGTTGTTGTTGATTGAGCATACTTAACAGTAGTTTTCAGGCAATCACGAGCAATTCGTGTGAGTGCACACGCTTTAAATTACAGTCAAGAGCTTGAATCAAACTCCTAAAATTATAAATTAAACCGCCAGCCGTAAAACTAGAGCAAATGAAATCTTTTGGATGAATAATATCATACAATCGAATTATATAATTTTATAGCTAAGAAATTGTTTCAAAGTACTTTTTTTTGTTACACACGCACATTCTTCTCCAATTTATAAGTACTCAATTTTTCGCCAAACCGTTCATTAGTAGTATCCCACGATCTGAATGCGGTTTTTTAGCCTTTCATCAATATAGAAATTTTTTTTCTTTTAAATTAACAAATTGACTAATTAATTGACTTTAGCACACAGTATACACTCATATTATGCTTGTGTATATGTTCAAAAAAAAGAGATGAAGGAAAATATGGGACAACCGATGGAAAATCATTTCGAAATATGAAATATTGAAGAAAAGAAAAACGTGAAATCAATGTATTACCTTAGGTTATGCTCCGTTTGAGTGTACAATACAATCTTCTAGAAGAAAGTAAATGAAAATATCGTCTAAATCGGATGGTCTATTAGTTCCAGCTGGCCAACTCTTTCAACAGAATAGTCTTGTGTTGATATTTTTCACACGTCGCAACCAGTGATTGACTTCTAGCACCGGAAAATTCAATCAATGTGACGATAATTGATTTCGGTACATTCGATCGTTTCTATGATTTTGCGGTAGTATATTTTGTGTGTGTGTGTGTTGCTTGAAGAATTTATGGATGAACTTTCACAAAGTTTAATCGATTGACAGCGTTTCCAAAAGATTTGTCAATTCAACGTTTCTCTCAGACGAACTCTCTTGAATTTTTGATTGGCTTGGTTGTACGTTTGTATGGGTTGCAATTTATTAGTTTTCGTCACCTTAACGCTTATATTGAATGGTGATGTTCAGTTACTAATGTGTGTTTGTTTTTCGTTCGTAAGTTATTGGAATTGTTTTGTCAGCTTGCTATCAGACATGTCTGTTGATAAACATGCCGTTGTGTATAAATGTGTCAAATCTACCGAATTGGCAAACTTTCAATCAATATATGAATTATGAATAAGTATTAATTATTTATTGGCCTTTTTATTTTTATCGGATTTATTTTTATTTTTACTTGATTTTATAGTGTTTTTTTTTGCAGTTATTTTCTTGATACTACTAGGTCTTTTTCTTATATTGAATTATGCGATTTTATTATTATTATTCGAATTTTGAACTTTAGTTAATTCGTTGCTTCTTTCACTTCTTCGGTCGCGCTTGATTACTTCCAGTGTAAAAAAACCTTTATAATGTTTTAAGCTGAGCCAAACACTCAATTTTACTTGTTACTATCAATAATAGAGAAATGAAATGTTTGGAGAAAATGTGTGTGTGTGTGTGTATTTTTGTTGTTGTGGTTGCCTTTTCGTTTGAAGAAGTTAAAAAAAGACCAACCCACGATGAGAAGCGCGAAGAAGATCTCAACCAATCAAGTTGTAATTTTCTTCTGCTTTTTTGATTGATACAATACACTCACATGTGAATTTTTTGTTTCTGTTCCTTCGTTCATTCATTCATTGAGATTGTCCTATTGCATAGTATTTCAAATTCAGTTTTTGTTCATCGCATGCGGTTGCCTCAAAATGATTAAGAGTTATCAAAAAAATCACTTGCACTTTTACTTTGCCGTTCACACTCATACACTTTTCCTAGTAATCAAATTGTTTCAAATGCACTTACGTTCAATAACGTTTGCGAAGAAAACACTTGAGAGCGCGCGCGATAAATTTTTGTGTAAAATGGGCCCCCTTTCTTTGTGTTTTTCGTTGCTTTTCCGCGCCGACTTTCTTCTTGCTTATACCACTCTCGAACTGCCTGTGTCAGTTTTCGCTGTGCACGTTTTCTACCAACCAATTGTTTAATTCTGGTTGCATTTATTGCTGCCGTTGAAGTTGTTGCCAACGTTTAGTTTTGTTTTATGTCGTTATACACTGTTTGCAAAACTGTTTAAGACATATGGTTATGTGGTTTATATTCAATGAGAATCTTCTCTTGGTTTTGGTCCCAAACCAAATGAATTATTTTATAATTTTTATTGTTTTTTTTTTGCGCTGCTGTGCGGGGCTGCCTTTGTATTAGTAGCTGATGTTTTACTTGCAAAGTGTATTGTTGGATAACATTTCTAATCTTGGAGACTTAATTTTACTGAATGTTGCAAAATAATTTAATTTTTCTGTTGTGTATATGTACATGTATATACAGCTAACTGTGCGATTTATGTTGTTGTTGTTGTGAATTAAATGGCTGGCCGTTTTGGTGGTGCTTTGCGTGATCGGCTGGCGTTACAAGCAATTTTTTTATAGAATTTATACCAGTATTGATTAAATGCAGGTTTTTCTTTCTCTACCACCACATTGAAATTGAAATACAGCTTTTATCAATGTAAATGATTGCGTCGTGTCTGTATCGCATGCAATCAATGTACGTTCAGATCATTCAATGTAAAAATTATGTTTATTATTTCCTTTTTGTATGTTTTGATCTGGTTTTCTCTTGTTCAGTTGATGTTAAATAATCTGTCTAATTAAATTTGTTTAGTGCCTGTCGTTATTATCAATCTGATGTCAATGTGTCGGCCGTATGAGTGCGCTAGAACTTTTGTGTATGCAGTTATTTTGATCGAAATGATTGAAAAAACAAAATTAACGCTTTAAAATACACACTCGCATGCAATTCGGCAAGAGCCTTTGATACATAGATTAAATCTCAATATGGAACTGACAATTCGGATCGTATCAAAAGAAATCAAATTTAATGACTGGCACTTTATCGCTTATATAACTTGCTTGTGATATGTGATATATACGTAAATTGTTTTTTTTTTGGCGAGATGCTGAACTTGCTTATTGTATTTGGCACACACGAATCGCTAAACAGTCGGTGAAATGTGAATTTAAAAAAAACTCCCACAGGCGTTTCCGTTTTTTGCAATCCAAAAAATAGTTTAGTTCCAAATAAAAATGTTAATTGAATTATTTATCTCGTTCTCTTCTCTATCGGTTCCTAGTTCTTCGGTCGACTTTTTTTTTTGTTTATTTGGATTTGTTGTATATATAGTTGTTGGTATATCAATGAAAACAATTGAGTTTAATCGAAGGTTTTTCTTTAATTTTAAACTAAAATATTGTGTGCATATTTAATTACAATTTTGTTTTAAAAAAACCAAAATAAACGAAAACGAATTGTGTAAGATGTTCTGAACTAAGAATATTGAAATCAGAATCGACGAGACACAGTGAAGAAATAATATTAACACAAGCTGATCTCTGTGTGTGTGTTCGGAAATTTCTTTTCAGATTTGCAAGAAAATAAAAAACACATGCGCACTCCACCGTGTTCACGATCGAACTGAAATTGTAATATCAACCGAGGAAGGTCGTTCATTCCTACCAATTCATACTGCTTGTGAATTCGTCAGGCAATAGTGTACAAACATACGTCGTTTGTAACCGCACGCTCGTTCAGCTGCTTGCTCTGCTTTATGTTGCTACGAAAGAGAGTCTTAACGCTAGAGCAGCAGCAGAAAAAAAAACGAAAGTGTATATTTTGCTACACAGACGACGACGACGACGACGACGACGACGATGGAGCGAATGCGTTTATTGTATCGAATTTTAGGTGCGCGTCTCAGTGCCATTCTCTTTTTTATTTTTTTCTCTTTTTCACTCTCTCGATTCACGTCTCTGTCTTTTACACACTAAACACGTAAACAAGTTTGATAATTCCTTATCTACGAATTAATTTATGCACGCTGTTGTTTGCGTCGCTCTCGATGCTAGCGATACTTGGTTCGCAACTGATTGACGTTCTGATTTTAATCATGCATATGACATTTACATTCGTCACTCATTATTAGAATAAAAAAAGAAGAAAAGATAGAAACACCTATTAGACGCGCAATGACACATTTCCAAAATCCAAGAACATAGAATGTGGTGCACTGTGTACGATTTTTTTATAACTAACCCATTCGAAATCCCTTTCGACAGAAGAAGAAGGATTTCTGCAAAAATAATTGAAATCTAAGTGCCCTTTCTCTTGGAAATAAATGCGTAGCACTCAGTAGCATATCACTTTGATAGAGAAATTTTGTTACAAATTCGATATACAACATTTCTGAAAAGCCAATTTTTTCAATAAAGTCTAAACAACATTGGATAAATTGAAATGGAAGAGCGAATTCTATCCAAAGGAAAACAAAGAAACACCCATAAACACACCCACGACAAACGATCGAGAAGAGAAAGAAATGTCTCAACTGTTCATAGTAAATAGTGCAAAATTATAACGATTCAATGGAGAATTTATAATATTTACATCAAATAGTTCGTAGATGATTAACTTTTGTTTAATATGTAGGTTTAAAATCGAATTAATATTTCTTTTTTTCAGTAAAATATCGAAATTCAACAAAAAAAGTGTTTTGGATCAAAATTTTGATGAAAAATCGAACAATTTTCATCTTTGAAAAAAAAATTAAATAGCGAAAAGCGATTCTATTATTTTGTGAAAATGAAAATGTGTTGAATGTCCAAGCACTTTGATATTAAAAAGAATGAAAGATATAATTTTATTGCGATGTGGCATGAGTCAAGGTTTTAAATACCATATATTTGAATACAAGAAATAGTATAAATACAGTCCTGTTGAATGAACCCGCATTCATCGAAATTTATATTCAAAAACTACCATCATATCCAATTGCGTCATCTCAATCGTAGACCTGAATCATTTAAAAACAAAAAAAAAAACATATATTTTGATGCTGTAGAAATATCTATATGTATATATTAAAATTTATTTCTGAGTGTTGAGAAAGCACGCCACTCAATTCTACAATGAAATGCGACTGAATTTTGTAGACACACAGCCTCGCACGAAAACCAACCGACAATTGAATTTATGTTCAAATATTTGGAAGTATATGTTCACGCACTCTGGTCCAATGGCCTATCTAATCTTATATTCGGATCATTGCGTGGAACACTAAAGTACTAACATAAATTTTGTATCGCATGATCTTTGTAATATGCAATGAGACATTGTTGATTGTTTTTTTTTTTTTTTTTTTCATTTTTATTCTTTTCGAAATATAACATGAGTAATTTTGTTAGCTATCTGATTTCGAATGGTTCTGTATTTATATTCAAAAGTCTTCTAATCCAATTTGCGATTTGTTGACATTTTCTGCCTGTCTCTGCCTCTGCATATGTCGGAGAGCTTCAATTCATTTAAATAAATGTTCCACCAAAAAAAGAGACATTGACATTTTTAAATTCATTTTTCTAGAGTGTTTAGAGCGAAATTGGAGGCATGGCACATAGATACAGTGTCACATTGTTTTCTTGAAAGAAAAAAAAATCACAATTTTACTGTGCAATTCGAATCATAATCTATCAACAGATAAAAATGAAGACCAATTAATTGTGTTTGATTCATCCATGTCTATTCTTCGCCTTAATCGATAATATAAGCGAAAACAAAGAAAAATATATTCGATTTTCACCAAAATGATATGTGTATGTAACATATCTACGCAGGCCCGGTGAAAATTCAATAGACTTCAACAAAAGTGAGAGAAACAAACGTTCTTGAAATATATATATATGATATTTTCGATTTGATTTGCTTCTATTTTATTGGCATATTTAAATAAGCTCACGTTGAAAATCCATGTGGTAAACTTTTAGAGATATTTTGGATACATTGATTGCGTTAAAGTTCTACCAATCTTGAACGCCGATATCTTTAACTTACCCATTTAATCGACATGATACAATTTTCATGTAAAAATGTAAAAAAAAACTGCTTTCAGTCTGTTCGAATTAATGTTTAATATTATGTTAAAAATAGATTTGAAAATGGAAATACCGGTTTTCCATAGTTAAACGAGATTTTTTCTATTTTTGAGAGATGTAATTCAATATGTTAATTATATTTTAATTGATTTTTTTTGGTTCTTTGGCTCGGCTTGCATTTAATCAATACTCTGTTCAAAAAAAAAAATTCTGAAAAACACTATGTTTTTTTCTGCATAATTGAACAGTCACAACAACTGACTCAATTCATAGCACCAAGCATGGATGTTATAATAATGTGATACGTCTGAACAAAGCAAAGCACAAATGAACAAATGTCACCGGATTATGAAACGATTGTAAACACAAAGCTGAAACTTGAAAATTTGGTGAAGGTCACTAATTTTTGGTGTATATAGTTTCTTTTGTTCGTTCACATCAGCGTTGGTGTTGGTCAAATGACTGGTTTTGTTTTTTTCATTAACGAAAATGAATGATGTGAATTTTCTTGTGTTCAGCGACTGAAATGCCACACAATGCACGTATGTGGTCAGAAAATGAAAAATAAATGAAAAAAAAAAACAAGCAACCAGACGTAAACAATCATAAAGAAATTCGGAAATCGACGTAAGATTAGAGAGAAAATTGTTTTGCTGTATTGTATATAAATTTAGAAATGGATTTTCTCTTGTTGCGTTGCGGATAGTTCAATGCGTGGGTTATGTTTGGTTCATCTGGTTGCATTTATTAATCAGTTTGTCTATCTCACCATCTGTATATGTCTATATCGTGTGTTGTACTTTTTGACTAAAAAGCAAGCAAAATCGTCAGTAGCAAATAACGACTTATCGATACAAAGATGGTTTTAAATCAGCAGGAACACAAAAATGCAAACAAACACATTCAACGGAAACGTTACCCATTTTAGTGGGAATGCGAGGTAAGTATGGTCACGGTTTGTACGATATTTATGACCAAGTCAATCTTTATCTTCTTATTGATAGTAATTCTTTTTTTGTTGTTATTCTATCTAGCCGAAGATTGGTGCATAAAAGATTCAGTTGTGTATATTTTCAATCGAAATTTAAAATGTTACTATTATATGGCTGGTTTGTGAGCTTAGATGTTGCTGACCAGTTTAAGTGTATGTGCGTGTGTATTCAAAATTTGTTCAATACAAAACATATGCACATTTTCAGCGGTAGGAGTTTCGCTTCGCGGATTTCGTTGTATTCTTTTTTTATCGATAATCTAAAATAGTTCGCTTATGCAAATTGCTGAAATGCTCGCAACTGCCGGTAAATCTACAATGAGAAAAAAAGGTGGCATACGAATAAGCCGCAGTGATAATAGTTGAAAAAAAAAATCAAATATAAAAATAACGCTAGCATTCCTCAATTTAAACTTATTCGGATTTCAGGAAGAAAACAATATTTGAACACAATTATTTTCAAAATCAGCAACTATTTGATGAAAAATAAAAAAATAAAAATACAGAAATTGATGCTGCAGGTAGCTTTGAAATGCTGTGAATTAGTCTCGTTGATATTTAAGCCAACAAATGAGCTGTTCGTTTCAAACTCTTTTACATACTAACACTTTTGTTAATTGTATAAAAGATTTTTTCGTTGATAGATACGTTTTAGCATTCATTCTTTTGTCTCAATCTGTCTGCTTGATCAAATATATTTTTTACTCTCCATTTACATTTCATACGTGATCTTCATCTGAGATTATCAATGTGAAGACAGCCAGACAGATTGGATAGAGAGAGAGCGGGAAAGAAACAAATAATCGACAGTAGCTCATGCATCGTGTCGATTTGAATCCGTGTCATGTTCTACTAAACAATATGCAGACGATTTGTGCTTCGCAAAACTGCTGAGCATGCGTAAAATACGCTTATTTTATTAAATTTTTTTTCGTTGCTTAAAAATACAGGACAAGAAAAGAGATGTGACGTTTGGTGTTTGTTGTTTAACGTAAAAATTTATGTAATTACAAGCGCTTCCAAGAAAACATAAATGCTGATTAAATTTATGCACGGCAACTCTGTGAACTTTTTTTATTCACGTGAATTAGAAGAAGCACGATGTGCATCATCACACAGAACACAGAAGCTAAAGAATACCAAACTTTGTTGAAACTATTGGCTTTTTTAAATAACCGAGCTCGTCTTTCGGCACACTCTTCGCATTGGCCATTGTTTTTTTTATTCTCATTGTTCTCTTGGCTCTTTGATTGCTTGACTAGAACTCATTGTCTTTCACAATGGCAAGTGAAATACTCATAGCCATTGCCATTTTACTTTCATGCAGGTTACATTTGGTTGAGATCAAGTGCATATGTTCTACCCATAACTTTTGACCCAAATATGCATATGTTATTGCAATTTTAGATTTTTCGATTTTCATGCAATGATTAGACTGTTACAATTTCATCAAATACCATTGATTTAAAGAAGAAGTTAATTAATTTTTATTTTATTTTGGAGAATATCAAGAACTATTAACATTCGGAAGATTGAGAGTTATCTTTATTGGATAACAGTGTCAATTTCATATGTATACAATCCAATAATCTGATATCTAATTTGAATTTGTAATATTGAAAAATCTAGAGATTCAAAATGTTATGAAAAATCTGGTGGGGTAATTGGTGTCGTTCGAACTTTTTTCATTGTCCCATCCTTCACTACGATTTAATTTCTATCAATAAAGGTTAAAATCTACGCCCAATAACGCAGAGAACGACATCAAAAATCCCATAAAATTTCCGTGGTCCTTCCTGATGTCCTTCCCATTCTGACAAAAGTGAAAACCAAATTTTTTTTTTTTAAATCCAATTTTCAAGGAAATTTTTTGACTCCTTGGACCCCAATCAGAAGCTATGGTCTTAGCTTATTAAATTAAAGCTTTTCCGCAGTCATGTGATTTTAGTCACATGTAAATAAGTACAAACCTTCATTGACATGCCACTCAATTTTATCTATTTTGTTGCAATCGATTAATACTCCCCAATCAGATGTATAGGGTTAACATTAAGCTATTTTTGCGTGTGTGTAATCACAATTAATGCGTTGTTGTACTGCAATCATTGCGTTCTTGAAACGAAAATCGATGCAAATAAAATAAAACGTGCATGTGGAGCTGTTGTAAGTAGTTCGAAATAATTTCATAGTTACAGTCGCTAACTTCGGAAGTAATTCGTTCTCTGCGTGTTAAATATTGTGTTTATTGTGTACAGTGTACACAATATGCACATATCCTGGTGACTAGTGACATGGCATTGTTTTTAAAAAAGTAATGAACCTAAATTCTCCAAATTTTCTATTTTGTAATGCAACCATTGCATGTTGATTCTGTAGACTATTTCCAATATTTATGACACAATGTTTCAACTTGGAATTTTCAAATTAAATTGTCTTTACATGAACACAACAACGATCGAAAAAAAAAAATTCAAAAACTGCAGCTCTGCCCATGGCCACTGTTCAATTAATTTAGTTTCCTTTGTGTAAAGTGTTTATAGCGTCATTAACATGTGTGTATATGCATGATTGTGTGTTGCTGTTGTTCTTTTGCTATGAATAAATGAGGAAAATAATTTTTCTGCTAAAAAGTATGTAGAGCATTTGCCAAGGACATCGGAAGATACGCCACTTTATCGAATCAAGCCATCTAGGTAGCGCAAATGTGTATACACACCGGCCGTATTCAGTCTTATCTTAAATATTGTGACAAAAAACGAAACCATGCAAAAAGACACATGAAACCGACCATGCAATATTTATGTTTGCAGACAACAGTAGCAACAGTGCGGAGGCACAGCACTCAAATTGTACTTCAAACCATAGATGATGACGTAAAAATTTTTAGGGGGGGGGTGATGGCAAACGTCTGTAGGGGGTTCCTGGAAAAATCCATGGGGGGTCCCTGACGATGTCAACAATTTGTACGAAATGAGGATAAAATAATTTTTTTTTTTGAAGTCACTTTTTGAGGCGAAAGTCCCTAGCAAATCGGAAGAATTTTCTCGGCCAAAAAAAGTGAAGAGCAAAAAAAAGGGTCCTCATTTCCAAAATTGTTGAGGGTTCTTAAAAATATTTTAGGGGGGTCATCCGACCCCTAGGAACCCTCGTCATCACCTATGACTTCAAACATCTTGGGTCTTCTTTTTGAATAAAAGAGTTTTTCAATAAGAGTTATATATGTGTTCAACTGAGCAAATATCATCATTATTATTGTTAATATTTGTCATTTTTTAACGTTAAATGATTGTTTCTCTCATGGTGTTAGATTTTTTAATTTATGTGAGGGTATCATTATATTCAATGAAGAAAATATTCTCAAAAAAAAAAACAAATGATTTAACAATCGACCAGATAAACATTGTTAAAAGGTCAAGACTGATTATTTTAACTTCAATTATGATTTAAATTGAATTTTTAAAGAATATCGCAGAAATCGATTGATTTGTACAGAAAAAAAAACCTGATTCAATTAGGAAAAAAGTTGAACATTTTGACTTAAATGTATAATACTGTTGCAGAAATTAAAAAAGGATTTAATAATAATTGCAAATTAATTACCGATGTGTTCGTTTTTTTCGGAGCGGCAAATAAAAGTCATCTTGATAAATCGATTGTGAAACTGAATTAAGACGGTTAATTACCTAAACATCAATCTTCGAACAATTACGCGTAGCGTCTAGGCAAACTCAGTAATTACGACCAGTTTTAGTTCTATGATCATTTATTATTTCTCACATAGAATTGCATTTTCAATTATCTGACCAATTGGATCATATGACTTGACGCACTCAGAAGATCATTCAACATGGCCATTGGCCAGACAGTGATTTGACGCGATAAGATGCAAACCATCTAAAAAGAACTCATTCAATCAATGCCAACTTTCCTTGTTCAAGTGTGGCACCGTATTTTCAATTTTAAATCGCTATTTCATCCACATTTGACTCATGCAAATGACCATCGCGTGCAATATTAATGATTCGAAATCGTTCAACATAATTCATTGTTTGTGAGTCTTTAACAAACATGTGCATCGTTTCATATTAACAGTCAACCATTTTAATAACCAAAAATTAGCGGAAATAAATATAACATTTGCGAGTGATTTATGTTTCAGATTACATTTAACAACGCCAATGAACGTCAAGATCGGAATAATTTTGCCGCGGCAAAAATAGAACAATATGTAATGTTTTTTTATTCATTTTAACGTTGGAAAATGTAATGTTTTGGCCCAGTTTAGTGGTAATTTTTGAAAGAAAATTGTATGCAAAAAAGTAATATATTTCAATAGAATATTTCCATTTGTTTTATTTACTGGTGTGAGACTTGATGTCGGAGTTGAAGTTTACAGCATTTTTATAAACAATAATCGCATCGCATACATAAACATTTCTCTTTTCGATTGTGTTTTCATAAAACGTTTCGACAGACTCCGTGTGATAGCTATGTGTGTTCGTTGATTAACAGTATGCTTCGTAAGCAATAACAGCATTTGATACAACGTATTGATTATTCATATGCATTTCTATTCATATGCATTTCTGTCTACATATACATTATGTATCACTCTGTGTATTCACTCAGATTTTTCTTAATTTGCTTGTGTTAGCAAAATTCAAATTTCAACCGAAAATCACACATCTCTCTTTGTTTATAATGTGACATTTCTCGCCGACGTTCATTTTGCTTGTTACTTCAAATGTGTACGGTGCATTGTGTTGATTAGTTTCAATCGTAACATTTCAGAAGGAGTTGTTTTGTAAATCAGAACACAATATATACCATATTCTGATGGTGAAATGAAAGTGACTAAATAAATCGTTTTCTTCGACAACACAAATAAAATCTCATTTTCATATCAAAACGTTTGAAAAACAGTTTCTGTTCATTTTCAAAATTGTGCTTCAAACCACGAGTGCTTTTATGCTATTTTACAAATAATATTTTCATACGGTGATTTACATTTCGATTTTGATCATCGGTCATTTTTAATAAACGTTTACTTTTGTCGATTCAACAATAATTCCCTATAAATTCGGGTGCATTTTTGAGGTGATTCCACAGTTTAGTAAAGAATTTCACAGCAGTAATTTCAAATGAAAAAGTGTTTTAATTAAATTTATGCAATTATTTAATCTCTCTCGCTAGCCTTGTGTTCCAATTGCCGACCATTGCATCGTGAATACAACATTTTCGAACGCGCTTTTTGTCATTTTGCAGTGAATGTGACAGTGTTGTTGGTAAGTACTCAAAAACGAACCATTTTTCTTGATTTTTTTTTTGAAGTGATCAATGGACTGTGTGTCACGAATTTGACAATTTTTTTCGTGTTTTTTTTTCTGAACAGATTTAATTTTCATTACAATGAAGAAGAGACGTGCAAAAATAAATTCAGCCTTTAAGAAAACAACGCAAAATTGAACGACAATGAAGAGTTGCGATCGATAAAACTGTCAGCGCCTTCGGTATTCAAGTCTGAATATTCGGAAGCGTTAACAGAGCATTTTTTCCATAAATGCTACGATGGTACAGTAATATGCTACCTAGGTCTAGAGGGAAAGAACAAGCCAAAAAGCTAAAAAAATACGATTCAATACACAAAATAAATGTCAATACGTGTAAATACGTGTAAATACGTGTAAATACTTGTCAATACTGGAAATGAATGTAAATACCGGTAAATACGCGTAAATAAAAATTTCGTCAATCGCTAATGTCAAACTGTCTTATCGACTGAATTATTCATACAAAAAACTCTAAAAAGTATACTTTTTGTAAATAAAAAATAAAAATAAAATTTGTTTTTAATGTTTTTTAGCGGAAATTAATTTTCTTTTTAATTTTGCTGGGATTTGTGCGGTGATTATTCGCTGATTATTAAATCAGAAATAAATATGCGTAACATAACCTCACTTTTAATTACGTAATTAAAATTTACGTAATAAAGTATTACGTACGAATTTTTTTATTCATTTATTTATATGTAAATATTTTGAACGGGTGACGTTGAAAATGACTGAAACTACACACAAATCCGGCCACAAAATTGACCGTCAACATATGCCCGATAATGGATGAATTTGCCCCAACAATTGTTTATTGGGAAGAACAATATGAAATTGATAATTACGAAAATTACAAAAAAAATATTTCCCAACACACCCCAAACGGTTTAGCACGAAACAAATAAAATTGATACGAGCTTTCGTTCTCTTCAGATAGAATTTGAAATTTGTAAATGTTAAAAAAGTTTAAGGATATTTTTTGATTTAGTTTGGTCGCCTCAAAATGTAATTGTACAATACAAATACAAAAAGCAATTATTACGTTTCAATTATCGTTTGGTCGATTGAGTTGGGACATCAGTGGTATCATAAGAGTTTATAAATAATATAATAAGTTCATTTGGGATCTACAAAATATGAAAATGATTGAAAACAACCGTAAATAGATTAATTTATTGGATACATCAAACAATGTGTTTTAAACCCACAAAATATTAAACAATTTACGACTTTTCATAAATTCCTTTTCGTTCTATGGAATGATCCCGGGTCTGATCAGTTTGATACTGAATACAGTTGTTTTGGTTTATGTGTTCATAACATTTACAAAAACAAGTACAAATTACGAATTGTGTTTACGCAGTGGCGCAAATAAAAAAGTGCCGAAAGACAAAATGGACATGATTGTCGGCACGAGTGCAACCAAGACACACGAACTATTGCAATAAATGCATTGATTGTATTATATGTAGACGTAATGTGCTTTGTCTTGTCGCCGACTGAATGCGTGTCAAAATGAATCGGAAATTGCTTTGAAATCATTGATGATCACTTTGAATGGCCATTGTAATTGCCGCATTCTCGATTCTAATGACAAAGGAAATTTGAACAATTCCACCATGGTCAAGTACATTTGTGACATCTGACGGTCAGCTAAGTTTTTAAATTCATTTTTCAACACAGATTGTCATACAGGAATAAGAAAATTTTATCCGACGGAAAAAAACAACAACAAACAAACAAACAACAACACAGAAGAAGATTTCTATAGCTGAAAATGTATTTTAATGCAATGAAAAGTGAAAAATCAAGTCACAGTGAGTTCTCAAACTCACACATAAATAAAAGCAAACACGAATAGAATATCTTCTGATTTATATGGCGCCAAATTCTATTTAGACCTAAACTTAAGAATTGACCGAAATGAAATGCGAACGCATTGAGCAAGTGGATGCGGCTCACAGCCGACGGTGTAAAGGACATTGAAAACAAATAAAAATGGTAGATGCTAAAGCACACATGATCATTGGGTTGCCTCTTGGTACAAAAAAATTTCCACATTAGGATCGTGCGGATCGTGTTTTAGTCGGAATATTCATATAGCAGAAGCTGGCGGTGCGATAAATTTATGGTGTACGCATAAAATCATGTGCCGCTTCTTTAGGTTTGCAGGGTAATTTGTGTCAATTTATGGCAGGCGGCCGATTCAACCGCTCATAGAATAATCGTGTGAATTGGCCAAACGGTCATATGATGATGGTGTTCCAATAAATTGTTCGCGATTAAAAGTAATTTAACCAAATAATAATCTCTTCTAATCTTTATTATATCTGGAATGCTGTTTCATTCATATCTAAATGGTTCAATGCAAAATTGTCAGATTGAAACATAAATAATTAATATAACGCGTTCATATGAAGTTCGTACATTGTGTATATGCTGTGCGTAAGTATTTATAGTGCAAACAGTGACACCAAAGTGCACCGAAGAAAAAAGAATTCCGTATCAGCTCTCAGAAGTCAAAATGCTGAACAACAGCAGCTGTTCACAGTGTGGCAAGTCTATTTAATTTATGTCACGCGCCCAATCATAATTTTTATTTGGTTATTGTTATTATTGTTTCTCATTGTAGCCCGAATGCACGAATTGTTTAATAATTTTCAATGTGGCTGATGGTTTCGGTGGAACTACACCTATTTATTTGATTAAACATGCAAACGACTGAATACTGCCAGACAAAAAATATTTTCACCACATAAGCGAATATCACTGACGACGGATCATGTACTTTAGAATATAAAAACGACATGCAGTGGGTGTATACATGTATGCTCCCTAACTACCTGGACACAGATTCGCTATAAAAAAAAAGACGCACACAGAAAGTAGATAAAAGCGCATGGAGAGAGAACAATATTGACACTGGTCGTTATAAATCTTCTCCAGCGAATACCGATTGCTGTTCACTGAAAATTGATCGAACGCCTGTACATTGGCCATTAAAAAGCCATTCCATGTTGAAGAAACCACGTGTGTTCTATGATTTTGGTGTGATCGGTATTTTTATTTCATTACACAAACCGTACACAATGAATACGAATATTGCCATGGAAAAAAAAATACTTTGTAACTACATTGGTGATTATTTCAACTATTCGAGGAAAAAAAGAGGTGACTTCATGCCAAAGTTGATCATCTATATATTTTTCTTATTCATTTTGCATACATTCATATCGATGTACGTGCTTCGTGTATGAGAGACTTCTGCACTACTTCCATTCATTTCTTTAATTAATATCTACCATGTAAAAATGGATCTAGTTATATCTTCTATTTGTTTGCGTTGAGTTGGTTATATCAACAAGCAATTATAATTAGCACAGGATCGGATTCTTTTATATTGTTGCCTGACCATTTTTAGAGCACACACGGCTTTCCGGCGTCTGCGTTCATTACATCCTATTTGTTTGTGTGTGTGTGTGTGTGTGTGTGTTTGACTTCATGCCTTACAATAATGCATTATTGTGGCTCAACGTTCAAGCTAAACAATTAATGCAATAAACATTTTAGTCTTCTCACACCGTTTCAATTTGTCGTGTAATCTCTATCGTTACCGGCCAATATTCCGAAATATTTGTAGAAGCTTTTGACTTTGACGGTGCACGTATTTATTTCGTTTAATGTTATAAATTATTCTCTTTTTTTTGTTAAATAGTCTTGGTGTTAAATTATTTTCAAACGAAAGATTTATATGAAATGTCACAACATTTTAAAATCTACTGAACTCTAAGAACATGTATGTTTTTTTTCTTCTTTTTTTCATATCATTTTATTTGATTAAAATGCATACTTTTGAAATACATCGGTTTATATTGCATTACACCGAAATAAAGAAATGGATTCGTATACGTATATACGATAACTTATGTTTTGTATCACATTACAAATAATATATCACAAGAGCATGTCCACATTTGCACTTATTTCAATTGTTATTTCCCATTTTCGACACTAACAATGGTCGACGAAGAAGAAACGAGAGGAAGAGCGAAAGTATCAGTATGCAATCAATTAGCGAGAGCATACACGTGATGATATATATATATATATATATATATATATATATATAGTTTTTACTTTAATTAAATTTAAATGTACTGCCACACAGTAACAGCCATAACAAACGGAGATAAATTAAAAATGATTTATGGATGGTGACGATGGAATGTTTTTCATTTGCAAATTCCACAATTTATCTACATATAAATTATTTACGATCTTCAATTTTTATGTTGCATTTGCCTGTTGATAATAGCACAAATTGTAACAAAAAGCGCGCATTCAAACACTGAGAAACTCATGAAATGACAACATATTGTGATTAAATTGGTAACATTGTAACTGATTCTGACATTATTGCAATATTGTCGGACAATTTTTCAGAACTTTAAAATTGAATGTAGCAACATTAAAAATTTGATTTTTCAAATTGAGATTTTAATGTGAGACATTTGATTTTAAAATGACATTGTACCTTTGACGGATTACTGAAAAATCTCATTGTTTACTTTGAATATAGTTTCTGATCAGACATTATATTGAGATATTTTCAGCCAGATGAATCATCTCAGCCAAGAGTGATGGTTATAATTACACTTCCATTGCCACTTTTATTGTTTTTACTCCATTTCAGCTGCTGACGATATCTGGCTGAGCTGATTCATCTGGCTGAAAATATTTCAATATAATGTTTGTTTCTGATGGTTAACTTCCCTCCGGCGAACGATCTTCCCCCAGAAATAACATCTGAGAGTGGAAGCCCCTTAAATTTTCATAATTGACTTTTTCCGGACCGTTTTTTTTTCGAGATCCACCTACGACTATCGTTATTTTCCCAAAGTCTTTGGTGTCACCTATGGCTTTGGAACAGGGGTTAAATGGTCCTCTTCTTAGAAACTGGATTTGTAATTATTGCTCTGAAAAATTGCACTTGACATATACATCTTTTTAGACGTTATAAAATTTGAAAATAATGGAAATTCAATTGTTACATAAAGTAAATAGACCGAGCTGCGACGCCGACCGACCGCCGATCCGATTCGAAAATGCTCGAATGAGAACGGCCGGCATCGGAATGAATTTGCCATCGGATTTTTTTTGGAGTTCGGGTTTCAAAATATTGTTCGGATGCTTGGATGTTCTCACAAAAATGAACATTTGTTTTTACGAAAATCCAAAAAATTGAATAAATTTTTCATTATTTTTATTCCCATTTTAACTAAATGTCATTTTTTTTCTC